CCACCATGACGCTCGAGGTCGCATTTTCGTGAAGCGATCAAACGATACGAACTAATTACTTTAGTACGCACGACGAAACTGAACTCAGATTCAAGTCACACGCGATAACGGTATACTGATATCATCGGCTCTAGTCTGATAACGTACATTTATCTCTTTACTACAGGTAGATAGATACGCAGTACAGCACATTGAACAAGATCTTCACGCGTTCTACTTACTTAAAAAAGGGCGTATACGCGTGCATTCACGAAAAATGCATACGAAGCATCTTGTCGATAAATCGAACTGAATCGTTTACGGTTTGTTGTTGCCAATACATTAAAAATCGACATTTTAGAGGCAAATTATTTATTCGATTTCTGCAACTATCCGATATTTACAAAGCAGATGTTATTTTTAGTACGATTGGTTCAAAAATGTACCAAAATCTTTTTTCTTTTTTTTTGCGGACGCGATAGGTTTTATTACAATAAAACAGTGCAGTATATATAGCACATATATGAAGAATACCTTGTCTTTAGTCATATTACTAACTTTTTACACGAATGTATCATTTACGCCAAGACATTCGTTATATGTATAATAAAAATGTATGACTCTTATATCAATGTTTATATATATATGGATTATAACTTAAAAATGCGGGGAAAAACAGCGCATCCTTCCATCGCGGTTTTCTAAAATGTATACGATTTTCTCATACTTAAAATGTATCGGGCTACAAATGCATCATAGAATAAATATATATATATATATATACTTTCAGTTTCTTTCTTTTTTTTTTAAGCTAAAAAAATGATTGAGAAATGCAGAAGCGAATGAGTGAATGTATAAAATGACAAGATTGAATAATGATTGATTTGGAACAGCGCATGTATATGTGTGGTAGCGAAAATTTTTTATGTATTTGTTTTTTATCATCCGCTACGTTTATTTACGCTTATCGAGGAAATGTCAAAGTTGTGACTGTCGGGTGTTGCATGACATATCGGCAATCTTTCGAAAATTCCAGCGGTTATAATCGCGCGAATTGAATATATAATTAATCAGGCGTAGAATTACCTTGAGAGACGACAAGGATTGTAACCAACTTTTTGCAAATTTGTGATGTAACATGCAAGAGGGACTATCGTAATCGCGAGCGGAAGT